GGGGGGCAGCCGGTGAGCTCAGGTGGTTAGAGTGCAGGCTTATAACACCAAGGTTGCTGGTTCCATCCCCACTCGGGCCACTGAGCTGCGCCCTCCACAGCTAGATTGGAACAACTAGTTGACTTGGAGCTGATGGGTCCGGGAAAAACGCACTGTTCCCCAATTAAAAAAAAAAAAAGTTCAAAGTGGTTGGTAAATAACGAGTGCCCTACACCACCCCGTGTGCTCCTAGGACCCTCGGGGTAGCCCCACTGTTCAGTAACTGACAGGTGAAATCTGGCCTAGGAGGGGCCTCCAGGTCCCCACTCCAGTGCTACAGCTGGCCCCTGCTCTGCTGGGGAGGTGCTGTGCCTCACGGGTTGTTAAAGATTAACTATCACCCTTATAGCACTGAAAACCTGAAAGTCCCCACCTTGGGGAACCAACAGATAGACCGGGAAAACCAGGGATTATCCATGTGTTCAGTTTGTTCCACAAATATTAATGAGCACTTACTTTGTACCAGTCATGTTCAGCTCTGGTAGTACAGTAATACAGCCAATGTTCCTACCTACAGAAACCTGAGTCTAGTGCAGGAGACAGGCATGTAAAGAGGCAATTATGGTATGATAAAGGATGAGATAAGAGAGTAGATTTGGCATGGGAATGAGTAGGAAGAGTACCCAAATTGAAACTGGTGGCAGGAGGCAGTCATGGAAAGCTTCCTGGAGGAAGGGACATCTAAATTGAAACTTAAAAGATGAATAGGAGAGAGAGGGAGGGGGGAGGGAGGGAGGGAGGGAGAGAGAGAGGGAGAGAATGGCAACCAGGGAACTTAAAGAAATTAAGTAGGAGATAAGGCCTGAGGCTAAGTTAGGCAGGGATGTTGTAGCATCCTTGAAAGGGTTTGGACATTTTCTCCGAAGGCTAAGGAGGGGTTATTGGAGGGTTTTAAGCAAAGAAGTAATTTGACGATATTTTCATTTCAGAAAGGTACCTCTGGCTGCAGCGTGGAGAGTATCTCAGAGTGGACCTGCTGCTAACTGTGGGAGGGGAGGGGCACACTCACAGAATGTTGCACTAGTTTAGGCAAGAGGGGAAGACACTTTGGACTAGGATAGAAACACTAGAGATAGAAATCAAAGGAAGATAAGTGCTTTAAGAGGAAAACACTCAGATTTGGTGATGAGGGAGTTTGGGGATTGTGAGCAAGCAGTCAGGAGTCACGCCCAGGCTTCTAGAAGTATCTGGGTGCGGCCATTTTCAGAGGCAGGAAGTGTCAGAGGAGGGAGGTGATGATGGTGATGATGATGGGGAGGAGGAAGAGGAAGGAAAAGAGGAGGAGAGAGTGGGAGACGAATGAGATGATAAGTTCAGATTTAGAAAACTGAGCTCTTGAAAGAGGTCCGGGCTAGGCATAGATTTAGAAACAATGACTACAGAGTTTGTATCAGTTAGCGTTTGCTGTATAAAAACCACCCCCAAAACTCAGAGCTTCAAAACAACAAACACTCATTATATTTCAAGATTCTGTGGGTCAACTAGGTATTTTTCTGGTCTGGACGGCCTTAGTTAATGTGTTTTCTCAGCTGGCAGCTTGGCTAAGCCTGGATGGCCTAGGATGGCTGCAGTCATTTATCTCAGAATCAGTGGCCTATTTGGTCTACAGGGCATCAGATAAGGTCTTTCATTGATTGCCCCAGCAGGCTAGCCTGGGTTTCCTCCCATGGTGGTCTTGGGGTTCCAAAGAATAATACAAGAGGATAAGCCCAGTGCATAAGAATTTCTCAAGTCTCTGCTTGTATCACATTTGCTATTGTCTCATTGTCCAAAGCCAGTCACATGGCCAAACCCAGAGTCAGTGTGGGAGGGGGCACTATAACAGCATGGGTCCAGTGAACTGAAACTGCCCACCACCATCATTCATCCGTCTTCCTTTCTCCTCCCCTGCACTAGGATGACGCTGTATGTCGGGAAGGATGAAGCTGGCTTCTATGTTTCCAAAGCACTGGTTCACACGGGGGTGGCTCTAGTGGTGAGAGGGGGTGTCTGAGGGGCTGGAAAGAGGGGATGGGGCAGGAGACGAGCCCCCCTCACTCATGATTCTCCACCTTCTGCCACAGCCTCGTGGACTGACCCTGGCCTCCACAAACGGCCCCACCACAGATGAGGTGACACTCCAAGTCTCAGGAGAGCGAGAGGGCTCACCTAGCACAGCTGTCAGATACCCCTCAGGCAGTGTGGCCCTCCCTGGCCAGTGGCTGCTCATTGGTGAGACCCTCTAGCTCAAATTTGGAATAGATGGAGACGAAGGACCCAGGATCCTGGCTTCTGAGCTGGAAGGCTGAGGCCACCTTCAGCCTGGTGACTTCTCCCCTGTCTCTTAGGACATCATGAGCTGCCCCCAGTCCTGCACACCACCATGCTGAGGGCCCATCCCACCCCAGGGGGTGAGACTGCTGAGACCAGACCCTCAGGGAGCATGCGGGCCCCAACCCTCTTCCTGGAGGTCAGTGCTCAAAGGCATGAGGGCTTGGGAGGAGACTTGGCAGTGGGGTGGGCAGCCACTGGACCTTCTCAGGCTTCTAGGAATAACATTTGGGGGTGGGTCAATCGACATCACACAGTTTTCCAAGAGAAAATAATTTTTTTTGTTATTGCCAGAAACATATTAGAAGTGTCAAAAGGATATTGGTTATCTAAATTGTGAAACATGGGCCACGGTTTTCTTTACCCTTCTTCAGTGTAAGAATTACACAATGTTTATCAAGTGAGACAATGAAAACAGGAAAACTACAAAAGCTCTCCCAGGAGAGGATTGGACAAGCATCACTCGTAGTTCAAGGTTAGAAGGAACAGCCATGCCCTAGAGCAAGAATTCTCAAATATGGTTGCTCGTTAGAATCACGTGGATGCTCACTCCAGCCCCACTGAATTCAGAATCTCTGGAGGTGGATATCAGCCTTTTTTGGTGATGCCCCAAGATAATCTGTAATCTTTAGTGACACCCCGGGAGATAGATGCTGGTTATCAGCTAGGTTTGGAAGACCCATCTGCTGGGGCCCCATGATGTGTCAGCACCACGGAGAGCGTCATGCTGCCCACCCGCAGACCACTCAGTGCCACTTCAGCACCACGGAGAGCGCCTGGTCCCCCACGTACAGACCAGTCACTGCCCCTTTAGCTAAGCCCAGCCCTCTACGGGGTGACGAAGAAGGGGTAGGGGTTCCACAGTGGGAGGGGGTGCTAAGAGTGAAAGCCCTTTTGCCCGCAGCTCCTGAGCAAGGGTGGGGAGGAACCTTGGGACCTGGAGCTGCAAGAGAAAACCCCAGACTTGTATCCAGGGCTGGGCTTCCAAGACCTGCTGGCAGCCAGCCTTACTGCTGTCCTCCTGGGAGGGTGGATTCTCTTCTTGATGAGGCAGGTAAGCTCGTCACCCCAACCTCAGGTCCTTCTTAGGATACCCTAGGGCAGGGGTCAGCAAACTGCAGCTCGCGAGCCACATCCAAAGAGACACATGTGGCTCGTGAGCCACAGTTTGCTGACCCCTGCAAACTTGGGGGAACTCTGCCCCTCCTCTCCGAGACCTCAGCAGCTCTCTCCTTCACCCAGCTCGGATCCTGTCCTCTGCCTTCCTCTCAGCAGCTCCCTGAGCCCCTGCTACTGTGCTCTATGTGTTCATGGTCCTGTGCCAGGCACAGCTGCTGGGCCCACCATGGGGCAGGGTCTGTCCAGGGCCAACCCCTCTTAGGCCCTTGTGTTTTAGCAGCAGCAGCAGCAGGAGGAGGAAAAGCAGCAGCCGGCCTCCCCGGGACCTGCAGGCCCTCCTCCCATCTCACAGGATGCTCTGTCCCAGCCCTCGGGGGCCACCCCACAAGATGAGAAGACGCTGCAAAACTCCTCAGAGCAAGCCCAGTCCCTTGAAGACCCTGAAGGTGAGCTTAGGGGGACAGGGAAGGGCAGAGCCAGGGACAGAGAAAACAGAGGGGCTGGTTTAGCCTCAAAGTCGGTTTGTTAAAAGCCACTGTAGTGGGGTCGCTAAGCTGAAGTAATAAGAGAATATTTTGAATAGTGCCTGCTATGTAGTTGATTGAGCACTCTAGAAATTTCTGCCATCTGTTTTTATTGTCGTTATTTTCAAGGACTCTGCATGCAGAGAACTGGGTGTAGATCTAATTCCACTGTGTGTTAACTTTGATGAATTGCCGAACTCCTCTGAGCCTCAGTATTCTCATCTGTCACATGGGAACAGCAACACCCATCTCATTACATCTCCTTGTCATGAGGGGTCACCATCATTATTAAATCGTACTGAGGTGACATTAATATGTGCACTAAAATAACATCATATTTGGTACTAATAATCGTAAATTACCTCGGTACCATTTGGTGCCTTTCCCACTCTTTAGGGCTTTTTATTTTTTAAACATTTCTCTTCTTTTCTCATTTTACTCCTATAAACAAGCCCTTCGAGCCTCCTCTGGTACCTGTGGGATGACCCTGGGTGCCTTCCACATCCCTTCCTTGGTCAGTCTGGGCTACTTCTGCTGCTTTGGATTTAGGCCAGGCTGGCCTCCTGTCCTTTGCATGAACTGCTGCTGGCACCTCCCAGTCACTGCGCAAACCACAACCTCGTGCCTTGGAGTCACGCTGCTGTCACCTTAACTCAGGCTGAAGTCTGCCCCACAGGCGACTCCACGGTCCAGTGCTGCTCCGTGTTCACCTCTGTGCTCCCCTGGCCTCTGCTGAAAGGGGACAGATCCCCTTCCTCAGGGGTCAGCTGTTGAAAAGCCCCCACCTCAGGGCTGCCTGAGCCCCGAGCGGTGCACCTCCTCTCACTTGACTGAGTCTGAGTCTGGCTTTCTTACCCCAGATGCTCAGACGCCACCTTTTCCCAGGTGGCTCTCGCCAAATGGCCCTGCAGTTCCTCCTTGTTTTCATCTTTCAGTTGCCCCTCACCACCACGGTCCATGTGACCCTCATTGTTGTAGTGGAATTCCTTCCCCAGATGGCTCAATTCCCTTGTAAGTCAGTAGATACCGATAACCCCTGGAAGAGAAAAGAGGATACTGAATCTCAGCCCTGGCTCAGCCAGGACACCTTGATCTATAAAATACCTGTACTTCTTTACCTGGCATAAGAAAATAATCAAAGATATCAGCCCTTTGGGGCAAGAACCCAAGAAAATAAAACACCCAGGTGGAGCGTGGCCCCTGTTAACTCGGGGGTAACAGTCTCTATGCAATGCTGGATTTCCTCTGTAATCAAGCCAAAAAGCCTTTCCATTTCTTTCGCTTCCTTTGTTTAGAGAGCTGATAAACTCTTCATTTTGGCATCTTCATGGCCTCTAGGCCAAAACGGAAGAGAGTTCGGGAGGTTATCAGGCAGTGTGATAAATGCTTGATGGCGGGGTCACATAGGGAGCTGTGTGAACACAAAGGGGCGTGTAACTCAAACGTGGGGAATCAGGAAGTGTCCCTGAAGCAATGGCTGAGCGCTGAGCCCAAGGATAAGAAGGAACCACACCGGTGAGCAGGGGACAGTGAGCAGGAGCACCCAGGTGGCCCCAGGTGACACCGGCAATGGCTCAGAGATGAGAGAAAGCAGGGTGCACATTCTGGAAGCTGCCAGGAGGGCTGCAAACTCATGCCCGCAGGTGGGCCAGCGGCATAAAGGAAACGAAGGAAGCAGCCCCGTAGAAGAGAACAGGGCATGGTGGGGACTGTGGCAAGCTGGGCATGGGTGCCTTGTCTATACTGCTTTACAGACGAGAAAGCCCAAAGGCACAGCAGTTAAGCAACTTGCCCAGTATACCAGGCACTGGGCCCAGGCAGTCTGGCACCCGCCTGGGCATGGAGTGTGGGACTCCGGACAAAGGAGGAGGTGGCAGGGCGGGTCTGGACTGGCCAGTGCTGGCTCCGGGGAAACACGTCCTCCTCTCCCCCTAGCTGAGCAGCTTACCGTGGTGGGGAAGATTTCCTTCAACCCTAAGGACGTGTTGGGCCGCGGGGCAAGTGGGACTTTCGTTTTCCGGTGAGTAGCAGCCAGGAGCCAGCTGGAGACGCGGCTCTCACAGCCCTTTCGGCGGCTGTCCCTTGGGGAGCTCACCGAGGTGGGTGCAGGCTGGCGCCCCGCTTACCAGTTCCTAACCTTTCCTTTATCTGCCCTCTCTGAACCTCATCGCCCCACCTCCCAGGGGTCAGTTTGAGGGACGGGCAGTGGCTGTCAAGAGGCTCCTCCGTGAATGCTTCAGCCTGGTCCGGCGGGAGGTTGAGCTGCTCCAAGAGTCGGACAGGCACCCCAACGTGCTGCGCTACTTCTGCACAGAGCGGGGACCCCAGTTCCACTACATCGCCCTGGAGCTCTGCCAGGCCTCTTTGCAGGAGGTGAGGCCGTGCAGGGAGGTGCAGGGGAAAGGGTGGGGGGTGGCCGGAGGTCCCAGCTGCAAAGTGACGCTGTGGCCCTCGCTGCTCCTCAGTACGTGGAAAGCCCAGAGCTGGACCGCTGGGGCCTGGAGCCCAAGACGGCACTGCAGCAGTTCATGTCGGGCCTGGCCCACCTGCACTCCTTACACATAGGTACCTGCCCACCTCCTGGTCTCCCAGTCTCCACCCCCCGGCCCTGTTCTCCCCGCCTCCACTCGCTCTCAGCCGCCCTCTGCTCTCACAGTGCATCGGGACTTGAAGCCGGCCAATGTCCTCATCTCAGGGCCTGACAGCCAGGGCCGAGGCAGGGTGGTCCTCTCTGACTTCGGCCTCTGTAAGAAGCTGCCGGCCGGCCGCTGCAGCTTCAGCCTGCGTTCAGGCGTCCCAGGCACAGAGGGCTGGATGGCGCCCGAGCTCCTGCAGCTGCTGCCCCCAGAGAGCCCTGTGAGTCCTCCCACCCTGGCCCAGGACCTCTCCTGTCCAGGCTCCGTGTCACCTGCTGTGCGAGCTGGCGTCTCTCCTCCCACCTGTTTCTTCATCTGTAAAGTGGGATAACGCATCTCTTCTTACGAGAGCAGTGGCTCTCAACCAGACGCTATTTCACCACCCAGGGGACACTGGACAATATCTGGAGATATTTTTGGTTGTCACGCTTGGCAGGGTGGGGGTTGCTACTTGCTTCTGGTGGGTAGAGGCCAGGGAGGCTGCTAAACATCCTGCAAAGCACAGAATGGCGCCCGTAACAACGAATTATCGGGCCCAAAATATCTCCAGTACTGAGAGTAAGAAACCCGGACCTAAACTGTTTTTCACTCATCCCTGTGCTGCTGAATCATGGGGGAACTTGAAAAAGTCAGCTGCCCAGGCCCCACGGCCAGGATTCAACCTGACTAACCAGGGAAGGGCCCCAGGAGGCTTTAATGTGTAGCCAGGTAGAGAACTCCTGGATACAGGGTGCGGGGAGCATCAGGAACCAGTATGGTTGAGGCACACAGCAGTGTCTGACCCGTGACGCCTGAATTTGGGGTCCAGGACTGTCTGAGTCAGCAGTGTGGGTGGAAGATGAAGTCATGGACACAGATGAGAGTGACACAAAAAGACAAGTCATTAGACAAAGCCACCTGCAACCCTAAAGTCTAGAGAAAGCTAGAGGTGGCAGCCTGGAGGCCCAAGAACCAAAGGCCTTGGAGGAGCCTGTACGGGGCGTGGCTTTTTAATCAATGGCCAATATTTCAACTTTAGGGAAACTGCACACAAAAAATCTGGATTTCTGGATTCTCTTGGGAAATGAAAGCTCTGTCGCCCCGAGCGCCCTGGAGGCAACCAACCGGAGCTAAGTGCCAGCTGGTGCCTGTTGGACGGGGCCATGCCAGATCCTAGTCCTCACGGCCACCTAACTGCCATGTACCTGGCCAGCTTCACACAGGGATGTGGCCTGCTAGGCCAGAGGAACAACGCTTGGAAGTCTGAACTAGCTCAGTGGGGCCAAAGATTTTGGAGAAAACCACAGGCCCCTGTCCGCAGTGCAAAGCGGAGGGCATCTAGGCGAGGAGAGGCCTCTCGGGGGCATCCTTAGTTTGACTCTGAACCAAACCCCCGCTGCCCTGGGAGAACTTAGCCTGGCAGACTTCCGGAAGCAGACTCCCTGCTCACCTTCTTCTCTCTGGCCCCAGACCAGTGCCGTGGACATCTTCTCTGCAGGCTGCGTGTTCTACTATGTGCTTTCTGGTGGCAGCCACCCCTTCGGAGAGAGCCTTTACCGTCAGGCGAACATCCTTGCAGGGGCGGCCCATCTGGCTCACCTGGAGGAGGAGGCCCATGGTGAGGGGGACCTGGCCTGGGGGGGAAGGGAAGAAGCGGGGCTGAGGCTGGGCGGGCCTGAAACAACCCCTTCTCCTACAGACCAGGTGGTGGCCCGGAGCCTGGTGGAGGCCATGCTGCGCCCGCTGCCCCCTGCGCGCCCCTCTGCTCAGCACGTGCTGGCCCACCCCTTCTTCTGGAGCAGGGCCAAGCAGCTCCAGTTCTTCCAGGTCAGGGACAAGCAGATTGGCGAGGGAGGGGCTTGGCGACCCGTGACCTGTGCCAGGCAGCTTAGACTGCTTGGTCACCATCTGGCACTGCAGTCCACTCCCTCCTTTCCCAGCCCCAGCTGCCCCTTGTAGGACACTGCGCCCCGTTCTTTCAGCCCTAGCTGTCACTCATCCCACAGTGCCCAGATAGCCCATTCCGACTTGTGCGACCTTGAACAAGGGACTTGGTACCTGAGCCTCAGTTTGCTCATCTGTAAATGGGTACAACGGTACCTACCTCATGGGTTGGTGAAGACCTGGTGGGATTACACAGAGATGGGGGCTCCTGGCCCTGTGGCCACTGAACGCTCTGGGGTCCTAGGACATCAGTGACTGGCTGGAGAAGGAGCCTGAGCAGGGGCCCCTGGTGACGGCGCTGGAGGCGGGGGGCTCCGCGGTGGTCCGGGGCAACTGGCGCGAGCACATCTCGGTGCCGCTGCAGACAGGTAGAGGCCGGACACGGGCGGGGCCTGGGGGCCACAGGGACCCAAGGGGACAGCTTTGCCAGCTCCTGCCCTACCCACAGATCTGAGGAGGTTCCGGTCCTATAAGGGTACGTCGGTGCGAGACCTGCTCCGCGCCATGAGGAACAAGGTGCGTTCCAGGGCTCGGTGGGGCCCGGCCCCTGGGGAGGCTGTCACCGCTGAGCCAGGGCCCTCTGCTCTAACCCGCAGAAGCACCACTACAGAGAGCTGCCGCCTGAGGTCCAGCAGGCGCTGGGCCACGTCCCTGACAGCTTCGTCCAGTACTTCACCGACCGCTTCCCGCGGCTGCTCCTTCACACGCACCAAGCCATGAGGAGCTGTGCCTCCCAGAGCCTCTTCCTGCCCTACTATCCACCAGCCTCAGGGGCCAGGCAGCCGTGCCCAGGGGCTGCTGGGAGCTGAGGCCGGCCTCAGCACCGGAAAGGACCCCCAGAGGCTTTGCAGCCTGGGGATGGACACTGAGCGAGGTGGGCCCAGCACCAGGAGCCAGGCGCCCTCAGGGAACACAAGGAGCAAGAGATTCACGTGTTTAATGTATATAAAGACAAGGAAGGGACAGTCCCGAATCCAATAGCGACATTCTGTACAATTCATATGGTGGGGTGGAGAGGGAAGGGGACGAGCCACAGAACCCACACCAGAGCATGTACAAAAATAACTTACACAGCAGCCCCACTTGCAAGGATGCCACGGCTCTGCCCGGCCCCCAGGGCTCGGGCACACAAGGAAAACCAGCACCATGGGAATTAAGCAGAACGGGCCACGGTCCGGGGGGTGGGGGCCCCAGGCCACAGGGGCTACGAGGAGGCCTTGAGGCGGTTGGTGACCGAGCGTGAGCTCAGCAGCTTGTCCACCATGGTGCGTGCATAGCGGAGGCGGCTGGCCAGCTCCCGGGAGCAGCCGTACTCCTCCAGGAGGCTCAGGCGGTACGTGCGGAAGTCCCGCTTCTCGTTGATGTAGGTCACGGCGGCCATCAGGGGGCACAGGATGAGTTTGGTGTGGTCCTGTGAGGGAGGAGGTGGGCGGACGGAATGCGATCAGGGGACGGGAGGGCCAGCTGCTCGTGTATGTGGGGGCGCAGGGAAGGCATCCCAGCCGGGTGGGGCCTCGCCGCCCCCTCCCTGCCCGCCGCCAAGTCACCTGGAAGAAGTTGATCTGCACGCAGCCATTGCTCAGGTGCAGGACGATGGCACTGCGTGTGCGGAACCAGGTGCGCAGGTACGGCAGCCGGGCCAGCTCGTCCCCTTCCCGCGGCGTGATATTGGCCCCCGCCTTCAGCAAGTGTTCGCTCATGTAGTTGCGGAAGTACCTGAGCAGGGTGATCTGGGTGGAGAGAGGGAGGGAGTGGGGATGGAGGCCGCCCGGGGCATGCGGCACCCCCCAGCAGCGCAGGGCCCGCGGGCAGCCAAGCTCACCTTCTTCATCAAGGAGCTGGGATGGGAAGTGACGGTAAGGTAGGACTCTGTGCCGTCGCGTTCTATGTACTGCAGGCTGTCCCCGTCGTTGTACAGGATAAGGCGTGTGGAGTCATTGAAGAGTACCCCCACGCTGTTGTCACACAGCTGGTACCCTAGGGGCAGTGGAGGGAGACCTCAAAAAGGGGGCAGGGCGCACAGGTAGGCCGGGGCTGGAGACGGGAGAGTTGAGGAGGACCTGGCAGCCAAATAGGCAAGAGCTTGGCTGCGTCTCGGGGCCGCGAGGCCGCCCCTGGGAGGCACCTACCGAGGCCGTACTTGTCTGAATAGTCCACCCACTTGCTGACCCAGAAGATGGGGATGCAGGCGGGATCCTCAGCCTCCTCTGGGATGGAAACAGACAGACAGTTGTCAGGACCACCTCTTCTCCTCAGGTGGCCCACTCCAGGCAGGCTCACTGGACACCCCAAGGGACTCAGTCACGAGGCCCAGGGCCCAAAGAGCAAAGCGGGGCCCCTGCCCCAGTGAGCTGACAAGCAGCACTGCAGAGCGCCAAGCCCCACTCAGTCATTCAGGTGACCCGACAGTGTGCCAGTTGGACACTGTCACGGGTACGCAAACCCCGCCTTCAAGGGCAGAGCTACTCCAAGTAAATATGGACAAAGTATTTAAGTTGCTTCCATCATGGTGAGGTAGTGGCTGACAGACTATCTAGTTCTCCAGTTTTGAGTGATTTAAACATTGTGAGAAAACAGACATTTCCTGATGTTACACTCAGTGACTGCAATAATCCCCCTTTTAAATACAGGAAACCAACACAGAAACTTTAGAATACTCAGGTGAGGAGTGCTATGGAGAAATACACAGCAGATGCAGGGGGTGGCAGGGCTGGGAGCGGGGGCAGGGAGGGGGCACTGGGGCAGACATTGGAGGGGGTGAGCGCATGGGCCATGCAGGTGTCTGGAGGAAGGCTGTTCTAGAAGGGAATAGTACGAGCCACGCCCTGAGGCTGGCGCACACCTGGGTCTGTTCCCTCGGCTGTCCTGAGGGCTAACCAGGAATGCCCTGTGCATGGGCGAGTGCACTGAGGCAGCACAGCGAGGTGCTGGAAGAGGGGGCACTTGTGGAGACAGAACAGATGGGTCAGAGAAAGGAAACGGTCAGACCATGGAGGGCCTTGGGCCTCGGGCTGCCTCACTGGGGTTTTCATCCACAGGCGATGAAAGGGGGGACTGACCATATGCAGACGGGGACCTGGACAAGCCAGCACGCTCTGCAGGCTGAGACCTCCCTGCCCTCCCGTGATGCCCCAGGGAACCGCCCCCAGGCCCCCGCAGCGCCCACCTTGCCGCACCAGCCCCCGCTCTGAGGGCTTGGAGGCATTGACGCTGTGTAGCTGCTGCAGCATGTCACCGAGGTGGCAGTCAGCGGGCTCACTGGTCTCCCGGACTGCTGGTTCCTCCTTTTCTCGGGGCCGTTCAGACATGGGGTTCCCCACGCCTAGAAGAAGATGGGACATGGTCATTAGCTGGGCACAAAAGCCGATGGGGAGAGGCATGGGACCCCTGCCACAGCTGGCGCACTCCCCAGAGAAAACTCTTAGCTGCCATTGCTTTGGGTAAGCTGAGTCAGTGCCAGGTGATTAGAGTGCCTGCTCTAAGGACAGGGACGTGGCACTCCTGGCATCTCTGGGACCAGGCCACGCACTTTAGGACACAGAGTGTCAGACGCTTAGGCCTCTGACCCTGTGGGACTCCACCGGTCCCTCGGGGAGACAGCTCCGAGGTACCAGCAGCTTGGGGTGGCCTGCTACAAACCAAGGATTCAAAGAATCTTCAGCTCCCAGGAGAATGGAAGGTTCGGTAAATCGCAGAGCAGCGGGATGAGGTGACGAAAACACAAGAGTCTTCCAACCTAAAATCTGCTTTACGTACTTACACACGACCAAAAGAGGTCTGGAAAGATTCACACTGCGACCTTAACATGCGTTTTATCTGAGTGTAGAGGCGTGGGTGACTTGTATCTATGTCTAAGTGCTTAATTCTCTCCCCTCCAACATGTGCTCATTCTCCTCGTGTAATAGGACATTCTTCTTCAAAATATTTAAAGATCAGAGTTTTCCATTTTAAAGAACTATGCTGTGACAAGGACTTAAGTATAAAATAATATTTGGGACTTGCTTTTAAAACTCCAGCCAGAAAGGTGGGAGGAGGAGATGGAAGAGATAGAAATACAGGCAAATGCTACTGACTATTAAAAATGGGTGATGACATGGGAACTCACCACAGAGTTCTCTCTCCTTTTGGGTAACTTTGAAAAGTTCCAGCATAAGACGTTTTTTTGAAAAAATGTTTTATATGCAAAAATTAAAGCCAAAAAGGGGAAAAAAAGGTAATTCTTAAAATAACGATATTACATGATAGCCCGGAGGATGAATAAATAATCAAATAAATAAATGTGTGTGAGAGAAGGGATAGCTCTTCCTTGTAGCAGAATTCCAATTAATGGGATGTAGGAGTGGGCGACAGAAATGTCACCATCACTATAACTATAGCACAGTGACGTGTGCGGCAGGCAGGACCTGTCGTGGATGCTGAAACCAGGGGGCAGAAGTCTGAGGACAAACACGACAGTCTCCCACAGCAAGGCAGGTCTTAATTACAAAGAGAACGGTCACTCTGCAGTGGAGACACCCATCAGACCTCGCCATGACCAAGTCATCAAGGCTGACATCACCATAAAAGGAAATGTCAGAAGTTAATATGCACCAAACGAAAAGAGGCAATCCTTACAGTGACAGGAGTGGACTGTAACGGAAACAAAGGGACTCAGACATTGAATTGGTGTATATTAACTGGGTGCTATAGCCACAGAGAAAAAATGTAGTTCAAGTGATTTTTTTTTTTACACTGCAGATCCTTAGTGAAATATATTCCAAGGACAAAAAGAACTGTGAGAAAATACAACATCCTTGAATAAAAGGAGCTAGTATATATAAGCTGAAAAATGTGTGTATATGAATGTAAGGAGACAAGGTTTTTGGTTTACGAGCAAAGAAATATAAATATAAAATCAAAGGAGTAAAAATCCTATAATATTATATTTGAATCAGATACTTATAAATTACCAAAAGAAAAGTAGCAACTCCACAGTGGAGAAAAAGATTGCTATAAGACAGGATCATGTGAGTGTTTAATTTCTTGAACTTGATAGGTGTGTCACGTGCTGCGGTTTATGTAAAAGAAGCTTTGTTTCTGGAAATATACACTGAAGTTTTAAATTGTAAAGGACAGGATGTATATACAACTTAACTCTCAAATAGTGCAGAAGAAAGGGAGGAAGGGAGGGATTGATGAAGCTAATGTGGAAAAAATGTTAATTGTGGATCTGGGTAAAGCAGATAGAGGAGGTCTTTGTCTATCACACCTTTTTCATAGGTTTGAAATAACAAAATAAAATGTTGAAAAAAATGTGAATCAGAAATATAACACAAGGTTTTTTCCCCCCAAATTGTGTATTTCCTACTGCTGTCTTCTGAAGAAACCTAGAAACAATGACAACCTGATCACTGGCACGTGGTTTTATAAGAAAATGTCCGCTTTTAAAAGAGATGCACAGTGAAGTTCACAGGTGTCTGGGGTTAATGTCAAAATACTTCAAAGGCGCCAAAAAGGAGAGATGAACCCATGTGACCAGGTCTTGATAAGTGGAGTCTGGTGGGTGCCTGGGAGTCCGCTGCCCTAAGCTCTAGGTGTGTTTCTGAAATGGTTCACACTTTTTCAATGAACCATGCCAAGAGTGATGTTAGGAATTTTTTAAATGGTCAGAACTTTTCAGGTGTGGTGTATGGTCACTGTCCTCTTTTGGGGCCTGACCGGTCTGCTTCAGGCCTGTCTTTCCTGAGAGGGTCGAGGGGAAGGGCATTTGCCATAGGAGGACCGGGCCATGGCTTCGAGGACCGGGGCCTGTCCTCCTGCACCCGAGATCTGGGGTCGTCCACCCCACATCTGAAGCCTAGGTGCTCCCCAGGACCTGCTGTCTCCCCAGCTCCCACTTTACCTTTATTGAGGACTGAGAGAGGCTTCCGGTTGCTGGAGTCCAGACTGCTGGGAGCGATGGAAAACCTGGGTGGGATGGTGAGGCAGGTGATGGGCAGACGGGCGGGGATGTAGCCAGAAGTAAAGAACTCGTCTTCGAGCAGCTCGTGAATGGTGGGCCGGGCCGTGGGGTCTGTCTGTAGCATCTTCTGGATGAGGGAGGCGGCCACGGGATTGATGTGCTGGAGCAGAGGGAGGGAGAGCCATAGCAGGACGTGCTGGGGACTGAGCATGGCACTCAGGCACTGCAGGCCCCGTGCCACATGCAGCCCAAACACGGGCCTCAAACACGCCCGTCAGTGATACGCTTCAAGGTCACACAGACATGATTTGAGTCCCAGTTCTCTCCTTAACACCAGCTGTGACAAGGAACCTGACTCTCTAGGGCCTTTTTATCTTCCTCTGTGAAATGGGGACACAGCACCAAGCTGGGAGCCCTAGTGAGGAGACTCCATGGGGTGTAACCTAGCACGGGGTCACATGCATAGTGACAACCAGGCACTAACTGTGCACCTACTAGGTGGCAGGAAAGTACTCTAAGCACGTTGTGTATGTTAATGCAAGTAACCCTCACGAAAGTCTCTAAGGGGTGGCGCTATCTATTACCATCCGTCTCCTGCAGATGGGGAAACTGAGGCACAGTGAAGTCACGTGCCTAAGAACAGGCACCCGGTAAGAGGCGGCACCAGCACCCACTCCAATGCCGGCGGGTCGGCTTGAGCAGCCACACTCCGAACCACCCCAGGCTGTGTTCGTCTGACAGGTAACTGACCCTTCAGGACTGTCTGTCCTAAGGGGACAGGGCACGCGGTCAGAACACCCAACTGGAAAGTGGCCGTAGAAACAGGCTCTTCTTTTAGACGCACTCACGCGGGTGGTTGTGAAAACACACACAGCTGGGTACGCACAGCGGTCCTCAGGCACTTACTGCCCACGAGGCACTCGGTGAAGTGTTAGCCGCGTGACTCCACTGGACAGACGGGGCTACCGCTCTGTAGATCCAGGCCCCCTGCCCTCTGAGTCAGGACAGTCAGCTCCCAAAGCCCAAGAGCACCTCTGCTTCTGTCTCCTATGCCCTGTCTTTTTGTGATTGTTTGTTTATACACATTTCACATTACTCTCCCGCTCTTTGAGAATATACAACCTCTGCCCCGCTGGAAAGAAAGCTGTGTGCTGTTTCAGATGTGAACCCTCTGAAGCTTTGCTGCTAGCTACCCAAGGGGTGGGGCTGACCTATCTGTGTCCCCAGGATCTAGCTGGGCTCAGCGAACAGCTTTGGGGTGGGGGGAACCCAATATAAAATAAATGTAAACTTCGGGTGTCTTTAGTCACCTTGGGAATACTGTAGTCATTCTTCTTGATCCGGAGGTAGGTCTCTTTCAGGCAAGACGTCTCAAAAGGCGGTTTACCCACTAACAAGGTGTACCTGGAAGCACAAGCGGGGGCTGGCTCAAGGCTCCTGGCAGGAGGGACCTCTCAGGGCCAGGGCGGAGGTCAGGCGTCCTCTGGACACTCACTCTTGACCCTGAGGACAGTCCCCAAATCCACTGAGCAGCCCCAGGAACCGGGACACTGGCGGGGAGAGCCCTCAGCAGAATACACGCGATAGGCCCAGGGTTCTTATGGGCCAGGGTTTCTGGGTGCCAGCCTGCACTTTCCCAGGGCCCCCAGGTGGGTGGCCTACGGCTCCTGCAGAGGCAGCTCCACGCTAAGAGCTCTGTGCTAAGGCTTGAAGTTTCCATTAAAAAAAAAACCCACTGGAAAGAAGGATGAAGGCCGATGCCACAAGTCATTCCTAACTCTCCAGGATCTAGGCCACCAGCAGTCATGAGGGTAACATCTGAAAAGGCCCTGCGCCCCCCAGCTGCCTCAGCCGGCCTTGCCCCAGGCGGACCACGGGCACCTCCTCCTGCCGGCTCTAACTCCTGGCCTAATTTTTCCCGGCCGATGCTGCTTTCTGGATCTGCGGTTCTGAAACCTCATTGTGCACAAGAATCAGCCAGGGATCTGGTTGAAATGCAGGATCTGATCCAGTAGTCTGGGCCCTGCGAGTCATTTCTCACAGGTTCCTGGGTGAGGGGCTGCTGGCCTGTGGCTCACGCTTTGAGGAGCAGGCGCTACGGCAGGTTTGTAGAGACCTTCCCTCCCATTCCCGGCCCAGGCTGTCGGGGTCCTACAGGACACACCAGTGACAGGAAAAGGAATGGCAATCAGGTGAGGTTTCCCAAAGGGCCCCTGCTGAGGCCTGGCGGGTCCGAGAGCACCCCCAACTTACATGATGCAGCCAATGGACCACACGTCCACCTCGAAACTGTGTCCCTTCTTGCTCAGCACCTCAGGAGCGATGTAATTTGGCGTCCCACACAGGGTCTTCTTCCGTTCCCCGTCATATTCAACTTTGGTGGCCAGTCCAAAATCCCCTGGGACAGAGCGGAAAGGAGGTTCTCAGGTGCTGGCCTCTCACCTGTAACTGCGGACAGCTGGCTCAGGTGTGACCTCCGAAAACGAGGTCATCTGATCCCTCAAGCCTCCGCGGCTTGTGTGCCCTGGAACCCTCCAGCATGCCAGCCAGGGAAGGGCCTCCCAGGGGCCCTGCTAGCCCCTCCCCTTGGGAAGGAGGGCTAAGATGGGGACAGGAAACTCAAATGCAAGTAAACCTCCAGACTGCGACGAGGCAGCTTTGTGGGGTAATAGGGAGGGGTGGGGACTGTGGCAACCCAGAGAGGATCTCAAGGGAGCAGCCTTTTCAGCCCAGCAAAGAGTGGCCCTGAGGGGATGCTGTTCCTGCGCTGCTGGGCTGTTGGGGAGGAGCCCCACGTCAAGACCTAAGTCAAGCCTCCTGATTTAAAAAAGTGGCAACAAATTCAAATCCTTAAACAAGAAAATACTCTGTAAGAACTAACAAGTGTTGGAGAGGCTGTGGAGAAAAGGGACCCCTCGCACACTGCTGGTGAGGAGGCAAACTGGTGCAGCCTCTAATGAAAGCAGCATGACGGTTCCTCAAAAAACTAAGAACGGGGCTACCCCATGACCCAGCAATCCCTCTTCTGGGATTCCAGAAAAATTGGAAAACACATATTCGTAGATATGCATGTACCCCTGTGTTCACTGCAGCATTATTTATAACAGCCCCCAACATGGAAACAACCCAGGTGTCCTGTGATGGATGACTGGACAAAGAGGCGGTATATATATATATATATATATATATATATATATATATATATATATATACACAGACAGTGGAATACTGCTTGGCCATAGGGAAGATGAAATGCTGCCACTCGCTACAACATGGCTGGATCTTGAGAGCATCCTGCTAAGTGAAATAAGTCAGACAGAAAGGGACAAGAGCCATGACTTCCCTCATATGTGGCATATACAATAGAAAGCAACAAACTCATAGATTCAGACAACAGAAGGGTGGCTACCGGCGGGAAGTGGGGTGGGGGCAGGAGGAAGAGGATAAAGGGGGCCCAGGCTTCAGGCGGTGAGCACACCAGAATGTACATTGATGTCCTGTCGAACTGAACCCTGAAATTCGCAGAGCCAGTCAACGGCCCCGGCTGCCTGCCGCCCTCGCTGTCCTTGTCCCCTCACTCCCACTGTGCAGCGTCCAGCCCCCGCAGGCCCAGCGCCTCACCTATTTTCACCTCCAGATCCTCGTTCAGGAAGAGGTTGCCCAGCTTGAGGTCGCGGTGAATGACGCGGTTCAGGTGCAGGTACTGGCAGCCCAGGACGATCTGCCGCAGGTAGTAGCGGGCCTCAGGCTCGGTCAGGGCTTTCCTGCGCTTGTGCAGCTCCAGGAGAGACTGGGGGGGG